GGGGGCGGGAATCACTGCTCGGGGACGGGCTGTCGATCGCCGGGTGGTGAGCAATTGCTGTATTGGGCATGACTTGTTCTTGTACATTCCTTTGTCAGTATTATTGTTGTTGTTATCATTGTTGTTTCCTTCTCTCTTTCTGTCCTATTAAACTGTTTTTATCTCAACCCACGAGTTTTTTCCCAATTCTCTCCCCCATCCCACTGCGGGAGGGGAGTGAGCGAGCGGCTGCATCATGCTTAGTTGCCGGCCAGGGCTAAACCACGACACTTGGAAAAAATTAATACATTTCAGGTTTTTTAGTGCTTCCTTAAGCCTGAAACAGGAATTGAATTCAAACTAAACACAGTTCAAGAAGAACTGCTCTGAGCTTAACTTGATTCTGTTCATCAGTCAGCCTGTATGGGAGAAAAAGCAGCACCTGTGGAGCCCCTGCGGAGGCATGTTAGTTAGCTCTGGAGCAAGGGGACATGTCAGCAAAGGACACAGCCATTAGCCTCAGTGCAAATACTGCCTCTGGGCTGTTGAAGGGTTAGTTAAGAGCAGGAAGGGGAGAAAATTGTATCATTTAACAAAAGTAGTGCCTTTGCCGAGTCTCTGGCTCTGGTGTTCGATAGAATTGGTCCTTTCAGTTCTAAGGCCTGTCTTTTGCAGGTGCTTGATAGCGATCTCTCGAGAGGTCAAAAGTATTCTTTTACTCTTAATGAGGTTTTCTGTCTTTTTTCAATTTCCTTTATTACAGTATGTTATACTTTCCTAATTCTCTATGTTCCCAGTACGTAGCTTGAAAGTTTTTATTTTAGTTGGTACTTCTGAAAAGGTTTTTTGTGTGCATGCAAGGTTGTCCATTTCTTGTGACTGATCTGTGAGATGGCAGGATGTAGACGCGTCCAAGTGTGCTGCTGGTTACCTTTCCAATAAATGTGTGGACACACCTTAGACCACAAAGGTACAATAATGCTACTGTTTCAACTGCACAAGATGTCAGGCCACAGCCATGTGCAAGTGACCATTTCTATAGTCTT